ACACAGATATAATTTCCAAAATTCGTCATCCATGGGAATTGAACCTTAGACCTGCCACTTGGGGGTTGACAACCTATTCACTTCACTAGGTCGCCACACTCCATATAAAAATTTATATAAAATTAAATTACAATATATATATATACAACATTTAAAATTTTTGCAAAGTACATTGTAATTACATATTATATATATTATATATTATTATATTTACTATATTTACTATATAATATATGAAATTATGAAATTATTATATACTTTGATATAGTTCTGCACAAATTTGTTTTTAATTTTGTAAAATTTAATTAAGACACACTTGTTTAATAGTAACATATGCATCAATAACAACCTGTTGAAAAAGACTACTAGTATAATAGAAGCATAAAGGTTTAGTAGGCACCATTGTAAAATATTTGCAAAATATTGTTGTTGAGTCATTGTTTTTAAATATGCTTCATCAATATGATTATTATCTTCTATATTTACAGCTTGATTATTACTCTTACTAACAATAAACATCTCAAAATACTATTTATCTTCACTATATGAAGAAATTAGCAGATATTACAAAGCAAATAAGCTTTATTTAATTCAGATATATGATGCAAGAAGCCTTCATGTTTATGAAAAACAATGTTATGATTTGATAAAGCATTATTATTTTTATCTCTAATTATAATAGCTGCTACTTTAGAAGTAGTTAGAGCATTATAATAATGAATATCTTTAGACTTATTTGCTTTAATCATAAGTTTTAATAGTATTGCTAGATCATTAATATATTTATTATAAGCCTGTCTAAAAACTGAAACATATAGATTTACAGAATTTAGAATCTATGTTAAATTTTTATAATAGTACAATTTACAGATAGCATGATATTTAACTGGTTTTTTATTTCATGATCTGTGTTGTAAATATTGTATATAGTTGTACAAAACACAGATATTTAGAAAAACTCAATGGTAAAAAATCTTTAATAATATAGTATAGTTCATTATAAATGCAAAAATTATATATATCTATAGAAAATTTAATTCATATTTATATTTATATTTAATCTTATTTAATGTAGTGCTAAGAATACAATTATATTATATAATTGGCACTTTGTTATTCTGTAACAGATTTATTGATGTAAGTACCTAAAGAAGAAAATACAAAAGCTACATTATATACTTATATATTTTTACGAAACTTATGACTTTCTGGTATAGATGATATAAGTAATTACATAAGATCATATAGAGACAGAAGCATGAAGAACAAAATGATTTTGTCTTTATTGCAGCAGATAGTAAATAATAGATATATTTTATTACCTGATAATTTTTCTTCTAATCAAAATTTTGCATCACAACAATGACAAAGTATAAATTATTTTACCTATTATGTGTCTTTGATTAAAAAAAAGTAAACTGTAATGTGCATTTTTTTTTCTTTTATAGTCTGATTGCTTATCAAGTTGTTTTTCTAGAGATTGCAATTGCCTACATTCTTTTATCTTCTTATTTCTTTTAATTTTTTATTCAGCAGTTTGTGCAGATCAATGTTTTCTTGCATTTTTATTGCGAGTAGTTCAATAGTTAAATGTTAACTTTACTGGAGGCATGTTATATGAATATATTGTTTACTTTGAGGATCTTATATCTTATATACATTCACTTGAAAATTGTATTTATTGTATTATATTTATTGAATTATATTTTATTATTTTATTTTATTATTTTTATTTTATTATATTTAAATTTCAAAAATTTAAATTTAGAATGTCAATTGTTTGATTAATTATGAGTACGATGATTATGTATTATGTGCTTGAAAATTTTGAAATTTTTTTCAAAACAATTATTTTTTTTAATTCTTAATTTTTAAATGTTATATTTTATCAAATTATCAATCATTGATTATTGAAACATCACCATCGAATCATCAAATTTAATTAAGACAAAAATACGAAAAATATGATGAACTATGTAGTGGAATAATTTCCTATAAACATGATTTTCCAAAAGAAAATTATCTAAAATTGATAAACCACTTAATTATTATGATATGACATTTACAATTTTATTTGGACATAATCTATTTTTCTATCTTTGGTAGAACGTGTATATACGTGGCTAAATATGTATATAATTAATTAAAAGCATATGGGTAATCATTCTTAAATTCAGATCAAAATATTATTACGTCATATATAAAATTGGACTGGATTCAAAAATAATTACTGTTACCTATATATTAACTTGGAAAGACAATATCGATTTACAAACAGGATAATATAACATCAGACGAATCTAAGTCACGTTAACCCACGTTTTGATGAACTTATACATATACGTGGCAAAATAATTGAAAACACATGTTAAACTGGCAAGGCAATATTGATTCATGTTAAAGTTCGAATTATTACAAACAGAATAACGTCTTATCAGGTCCGTTTAAGCCATCTTAACACATATTTTGATTTCTTAATCTCTCTTTATAATCTATAATTTCACAAATTCATAAATTTATAAACATATACATAATAACGTGATTCGTATTTCAGATAAACACGTATCTTTATCATTACTGTCAACGTATAAATATTAAGTATCACGCATGCATGCATTTATATACGCATATATGCACAAATATGATATACATACGTAGCGGTAGCAGAATAGTAAAATCCGAATCCAGCATTCAAGAATATAACCTGATCCGGGTGTAACAGGCATCAAAAAGATAACTTTTAAAGAAGCTTGGCACACGATGTCCTTTTAATAGAGGGAATTAGATTAATGAAACTATTTAAATTCGGTTAATTCCGCTAAGTTTGTAATTTCGATATAAAGATTCAAATAGAGATATTATAACCACAACTAATCTAAGTTTTATTTGAATTTGGTATGATTTGGATTGGTGAATTCATTACAACCGCAAAAATCAATTTTGCTTAAATCCGGTTGGTTCAGTTTTGCGAGTTTATTACAACCGCAAAAACCGAATTATTTGATTTTATTTAAATCCGGTTGATTCGGTTTTGCGAGTTTATTACAACCGTAAAACCGAATCATCCGAATTTATTTAAATTCGATTTAAAACCGGGTCTAATTTTAGGCAAGAGATTGAACCCGGATTCTATAAATAAAACCGGCTCCAACTTCTATATATTATATCGGATATACTTGCTAATCAAAACTAATAAATACATAATACAAATTTAATAAATACCTATATATTTATATATATTTACACCTTTCTTATAGATATAAACTATAAACTACAAGGTCTATTATCTATAATAATTGATGGCAGATCAGATAATTTATATTTTGAACCAAGGTATAGTAATAGTGAAATTCGAGAATCTTCTCTTTGGGTCATAATTTCATTTCCAATTTGCATTTGTAATTCTAATGGAATAATCCGTGCACAGGGTGGTGGAACTTCAATCCCATTATAATATAAAGTCATGTTTGACATTTGAAATGTATTTAAAGAATTTGAAGGTGTAGAATGTCCATCAATAGAAAATCCACTACTTTCCCTTCAGTTAGAGAAGGAGAATCAATACGTTGAGATGGTATTTCAGCATTTAATGTAAATCTTGCAATATTGGTTAATAGTATGAGATGAAAAATTAGGACTACTGTTTTGGAAATTATTTTGAAGATTGTTTTGAAACTTGGGTATGTCGCGAGAGGTGATAGTACAAGTTGCCTGATGTGAAAGTCATGAATCACGAAATATATAACGACGTTTGAAGTAGTTAAAAGAGCAAAATCCTATTACTGCTATAGCTATTAATATTCCAAGAGCTATTCCAACAATTTCTTTTTTAAAAAAAAACACCTAAATATGAATATAAGTTGAAATTAATCAGCATTTACATATATGCATTTGTATTTAACTTTGCCTATTATAGGTATTGGCATTTTGAACTATTCTGCTGTACTGGGCCTTCATTTATCGAAGAACGAACTTCGATTGTACTTATGGAATGAGGTGATGATATATATGTGGTGAAATTTCTGGTTCTGACTCGTCTCATTTTTTCGGATGATCGGATGATTATAAGGGTAATGACTTTTGAGTTACGGATGGAAACGAAAACAATCATCATCCTTGACGTTCTCGCTTATAACAAAAGGTATTTAGCGATCTAATTAAGAGTATAACATGTATAATGCTAAAATTTTAATTTAGTAGGATTAATTATTCTTCGAGCACAAGACATCAAGATCGTTTTATTTTTCTTTATTCATAATGTCATTTATAATTTGAGGTTTTTTTAATAAAAAAGTTTCAGAATTTTGTTTGAAATAATTTTGAATATTAATACAGCAAGGAAGTGAGAAAAACAAGCATAAAAGAAAGTCAAAGAAGTCTCAAATCATTGATAATGGAAATGAATATTTTAAAACAAGTTTATTATTTATCAAAAGATCTAAATTTTAGTTAGGGTTAAGCTTTTGGAGTCCTGAGCATTTTTACTTAGTACCCTGACATTGGCCGGCTAGTAGGTTTTTGAGACATGGTACCCCGGTGATATCGCCACCGGAGGTAAATAGCAACATTCTTTTAAAAATTCTTTTATATAAAATTCTTTAAACAAGGCTAGACGGTTGAATATATTTTAATAACTTGAAATATATTTACCGAATATTTCCGCGATAAATAATTTAAATAAAATCCATTCATTGTTTATAAGAC